TGACGAAATTCCTTGTAATTTGGTAAGAAATTTAGTATATTTAAAAGGATGTCTGTAATGATAGCTTAAATTTTACAAAATTCCTTGTAATTTGGTAAGAAATTTAGTATATCTAAAAATGATGTCAGTAATTTGGTAAGAAATTTCGTATTATCTAAAACGATGTCTGTAATGATAGCTTAAGGGTTATAAAAATCCTTAAATGTTTTAACAAGTTTTTAATTCCAAAAGTATTATTATCAACATGTTTCAAGGAATTAAGAACGTGTTAGCACAATTTGCAATTAGTAGTATATATTTTAAATAATTTTTCCGTATATATTATGTGTTATATATATTGTAACAGTCTAGAGTGATTATAAAATAATATTTATTTAGGACTTTTTATCCAATTAACAATACACACCTTGCAGGTAACTATTCAAACTTAGAATCTGAAAAACAACATTCCCTCCCTTTTATTAAGGTTCATGTGCTACGTTATATTATATCCATACAAATGACAATTTCTCCACCAGACCACATATTTAGGGTACCAAATAGAGTGATAAAAAAATTCACAACTACTGTAACTCAAAAAAGAAAAGAAATTCACAACTACCAACACCTACATTATGTAAAGTGGTAAAAGTGGATGGTTATTGGTTACACCACCAACCTTAATTTGGTTAATTGTTGGACTCAACCATTTGATTTCGTGATATCCCACAATACTTAACCCTTTATAAATGGATAAACCTCCATCAGCTTCTTCCATCAAGTGGTCCTTCCATGGGTCTACAAAGTGGAGAGAAATTGGCCATGTTTAAGTGGTCGTACCCAAGGAATAGATGGAGCTTGGTGGTGCTTAGATTGCTGGCATTTCTTGCTGCAGCAGCTGCAACTCTTGTGATGGTTCTCAACAAACAGACCAAAACTTTTGTGGTCGCCACCATTGGAACCACCCCTCTCAAGCTTGCTCTCAATGCTAAGTTTCACCACACCCCAGCATTTGTGTAACAAACCTACCTCTTTATCATATTCTTTCATTTCCCTTTATTATATACATATATTATGAGTATATACAAGGCCAAAAAAATACTTCTAATGTTTGAAAAAATAGTTGTTTTGATTCATGTTTTTTTAAAGAAATTTGGCATGTACATTTATTTTAGGATAAAAATGCTCCTAACATTTGACTAAATAGTCACTTTAACCCGTACTCTTTTATTTTTAGAGCATTTTAGTCCCGATATTTCATTTTAGAGCCAAAGGTCCCTATTTTAGAGCGTCAACAATTCGTTGACTAATATTTTCTATCTACATAGGGGTCTTTTTGTCTCAAAATGAATCATTGAGGACTAAAATGCTCCAAAGGGGGCAGAGTGACTGTTTACTCGACGTTTGTTGCATTTTTTGTCATTATACCTTATGAGTAATAGTATTGTTCCATATTTTCCATGGCATACAGGTTCTTTGTTATAGCTAATGGACTGGTCAGCATCCATAACTTGGTGATGATAATGGCGGATCTGTTGAGAAGCAAGTTCGATTACAAGGGTTTTCGTTTTCCCATGGTTGCTATTTTGGACATGGTAGGTTAACTACTACAATTGTTTTTTTTGTTTTGTTTTGTTTTTTTTACTTTTACTTTTACCGTTTTACGTACTTTAGAGCTTACTTTTGTTTATATTTTGGACGATGCATGCATGCTTGGGGGGCAGCTGAACTTGGCATTATTATCGGGTGGAGCAAATGCGGCGGTGTTCATGGCGGAGCTGGGGAAGAACGGTAATTCTCACGCGAGGTGGGACAAGATTTGTGATAAATTTGAGGCGTATTGCGACCGTGGTGCCGGAGCTCTTGTTGCCTCATTTATTGCACTGGCTTTCATGCTTCTCATTTCCTTCATCTCTATCCTTAAACTTGTCAGCCCATCGTCCCATATTTCTAACAACAATAATTAAACCCTAAAACCTCCACGTTGCTCAAACCATTTCCATGGACTGTTAATATTTCATACTAGTTCGTCAATTATGTCTGTTTTATTTTTCAAATCTATGTCCTACTATTATTCTTCAATTATAGTTTTTTTTAATTTACTCATTAATATTTTATTAGAACATTAATTTTTTGAATTAAATTAAAATTTAGACTAAATTTATAGAATATATAAGTAATGATGACCAAATGTATAATTATATTAATTTTTAACGTCCATTTCAATGTCTTCATTAAGTGTTAACTGCTATGTCAGCATCTTCATTCAATGTAAATAGCCAATGACCTCATTGAAACAATTAAGTAATTAGTTGATTTAGTTAATAAAATTAAAATATTGATGGTCAAAATGAAAAGGGTAATAAAATAGTGGTCACAAGTAATTTACCCTTATTTTATTTTTGCTTTTTAATTTCTTAGGTAACTAGAGGTAAATGTTTGAGTTAATTTTTATTTTCCCAATGAAGTTCACAAAAGTAATAAATTGACGACTAACGTTATCAGTTTATAACAAAATAATTACTTCGTCATTATCATCTTTAAATTAATGACGTGATAGTGTTAAAATGAATTAATATATAATTTTACCTCTAAACTACTACTGTAACATTAAATAAATCCCTAAATAATCCTAAAAAAGATTAATATATATACGTAAGAAATATAAATATATATATATCTAACATTTATATGAGTTTGAGTAACATATAGATCGAAATTAGTGCAAAAGAACCAACCTTACCGCAACACTAAGGATATATATGATCATGTAAGCAATGTTTTCGATATATATATGTCTCAAAGTGTTTAAGAAAAAATAAGCCATGAATAAGAAATTATAAGAAAAAACTATCCAAACCATTATTGCAGAAGAAATGGGCTAATTTAAAGTTCCGTATGATGTAACGAAACAATTCAAAGAAAAATATTTTTCACGTATTTTTAACTATGTTGACAAAAACTACATACATAGCTAATGAAAGAAACGAGGTAAAAGGGTGCTTGAGGCTTTTGTATATGTCCAAAAAAATTCAATTGGTCTTCGATCTTTTTTGTATTCAATATGGACCTATGATCTTTTGACTAACGGTTTCTGTCGTTAAACGTTACGATGTTGATGTGGTACTTCATGATGTTGATGTGAGAGTTCACAATAGCTGGTGATATGACAGATGGACTAAATTGGTTTTATTTTTCAAGTTCGAGGGTCAATTTTTTTTAAAAAAATTTAAAGGCTTATTTGATTTGTTAAAAGAATAAAAACTTTAAATTCAAAATATAAATTATTCAAAAACTTAAATATAATAATACCAAATATAAAAATTAAATTATTCAAAAATTAAATATATATTATTACTTTTTTACCTCGTATTTAAATTAACTGTTATTTATATAAATATAAATTCGTTCTTCATGCACAAATTTTATTTTATATATTTACATCTAATGGTCTTAAATTCTAAGTGTCTTTTCTAAATTCTATTTCACTAATTTTTATAATAAAAAATTGAGTAAATATTATAAATTCTTATAAAAATAAAATTTAAAAATTATGAAGCTAAAATTTACTTATAAATTATCATAAAATTATAAAATTAAAAAATTAAAAAATAATTATCTAATTAAGAGGAACATTTTTAGTGAATATGACATGATATAGGGAAGTAAACTTCACATAACTTGATCTTATGAAAAATTGAAAATATAGACTTATCCCATCAATTTCTATTAAATACAACTCTATAAAGTCAATGTAAATATAAACTTTATGTGATCGAGATTTTTTTTGTCACTCTAATATTTACTTTTTAAAAAAATCAAGAAATAAAAAATCCGTCTCAACAAAATAAAAATAAAATAGAATTCACATTAGTGACATGAGTTTTATTTTATTTTTTATTTTAAAACAAAATACTATATATTTTTAAATTTCAGTAATATAATTTTTATTTTTAGTATTATTATATTCAAGTTTTCTTTATATTTTTTAATATTTTGATTCTAAAATACTTTTATTTTGATTTTAAAATACTTTTATTTTAAAAAAAATAAATAAACCCTTAAATTTAAAAAAAAAATAGTTGGACCCTCGAATTTGAAAAAAAAAATTAGCCCATATGTCACGTCATCAGCCATTGTGGACTGCCACGTCAGTATGTGAATCACCATATCAATATCGTGAAGTGCTACATCAGTATCATAATAGTCAACGACGGAAATCATTGGTCGAATAGCCACATTGAGTTCTTTTTATACGTTCGAGGATCATATTGAGTGTAAAAAAATATCCAGGGTTACATTGATTTTTTTAAACAAGTTCAAAGGCCTTAGGTACTCTTTTGCCAAAAAACGATATCCATATCAGAATTGATGTGTCATGGGAACACCTTTGAAATCAAGACTTGTCTTATTTATCATAACAGGAATAGAGGTACAACAATGCGTTGTGTCCGAAGAAACCTTAATGGACTTCACAAAAAACCATAAGCAAACAAACCAGGTATTGGATACTTCACGTTAAGAGAAATCATTCTTGAGATTTTGAGATCTCGATGAAACAAAACAAAGATTAGCTCGGTAAAGAAAAAAATGAACTTGTTTGTGGTCAAAGTTTCAATGCAAAAATGAAGTCATTTTTGTTTTTCAGAGAAGTTTGAATTGCTGAAGAATTTGAGCTGCTAGATAGAATCAAGTTCAAAATTTATAATAGAGTTGCAGAAGTGATCGTGGTAACATGAAAATATAAGTATTCTTTAAAAAGTTGAGGATAAATTGATGTAAAATCGTTATTCAAAGTATATTTAATGTTTTACAAGTAATTTAAGGGTAAAACCTATATATTAACTGTTTTTGTTGTTGACATTTTCACTTCGGTAAAGACGGTAGAATAATTATTTTGTTATAAGTGGATTATATTATTAATTAATTTGTTATTTTTAAAATTTTAGTGAGTAAAATAATTTTTTTTTCAAATATTAGTGATTATTTGTATAATTTACCCTAAATTTTTTTTATCGAACTTGTACGGACGTATATCGGTTTTGAAACATAGAATTTCGTTTTCCATTTGGTTTTTATATGATCTAAAAGAAAAAGCTGTGTCGGATCTGGGATGTGTGGTGTTTCATGTTAGATTTCATTTTCTCAATTGAAATGATTAGGGCAATAATGATTTCCTTCTGAAGGTGTTTTTTTTTCTTTTCCTAAAAGAAAAGAAGATCTTTTTTTTTGGTTTATCTCTTTTTGTTTTTAATATTTTAATAAATTAATGATCCAAATCTGTCAATCAAACCATGAAGAAGAAGCTCGATACCCGTTTCCCAGCCGTAAGCTTCCTACCTTTTTATTTTCCTTTTGCTTCTTCAATTTCTTTGCTTTATTTGTTGTTAATTTGTTTTAAGTATTTGGTTCTTGATTGATTCTCCTGAAATTGAAAGCTGGGTCTTTTTTGGTTTTTTATTTTGTGATTGTTTTTTTTTTGTTGCAAATCGATTTGTAGGAAATTGGCCATTTGATGACGTTTTCACTTTTCAGCGGTTAGGGTTTTCAAAATTTTAGTTCATTTTTTTAATTTTATATTATTTTCATGGAGTATGTTGTTGGGTTTCTGTTTATCATAATCATTTTAGGACGGTTATTTTTTTTTTGGTCTGTTCTATGAAATCCCGTGTAGGTTGTTCTATGGTTTGCTAAATTTTTTGGATGCTTCTACAAAATTGGTCAAACTATACTAGCTACCGAGGTTATGTTTTCCTAATTTCCTCTTAAATTTTGTGCTTTTTAAGGGTTTGGTTTGTTCGAATGAATTACGTGCTTTGATATTATAATTCAGTTAATTGATGTTATGACAATTAGGTTGGAAAATGTGGGTTGTGTTTGTATTTTGTGTTATTGGGATATAATTTTCTCCCTCTACTGTAGGGAGCCAAAAAAAAAAAAAGACAGGGTAAGTTTGTAAGTTCCTTAACTGTTCTATGTTACTTGGACTTGGGTTTAATACAGATACGTTCAAATTGTTTCAAGCTTTTCAATATGTTTGGGGTATCATTGGAAGGTCTCATGTCTGAATATGTGTCGGACACAGGTACTTAAAAGTAAAACAAAGAGTCGGAGCAACATAGCTGTTGTTTTTTTGTCTCGTTAATGCTATTGTTTATTGGCAGTCTAATTGATTTTTATATAAGTGGTTTATTTTGATCTACTTGTCTAAGCATTCATGTTGAAATGTCAATGATCTGTTTGTTCTCGTATATTTCCTTTACTTGAAGCAAGAACAGAGAGTTGTTTGATTCTCCACAAGTTACAAATACAACAGTAGCTGAAAGTTGGGATTGGTTATTTGTACTTGTGATTAAATTATTATCAATTCAACTGCCTGTTTCGAATCCTTAGGTAATTCAGTAATTGCTTGTATCAATTTTGTCTTATTAAGAGTGAGCAGTTATGGTCCACTTTCCATGATTGCTAACTCCACTATTGATGTGCCTGTAACTCCTTTCGTTCATACTTCTGTTTGTCCATGATTAACTACTCTTCTCTTAGTCTGAAGCATACTCTGTTTTTTTTTTTGGAATCACTAATTGAAGTTTGGAATAAAAAAAAAAAGAAGTTTGGAATTCAGTAGTTTAAATAGCGCTCTTTTCCGGTTGGTTTCATTGGGGACTTTGTAGAAGTCAAGGATCATGTTAAAGCCTTCAATAACTTTTTTAGCATATTGAAATTAAATATGATTTTAAGAGAAAGATATGACCAAGCAATGAGTTTGCAAACACAGCTTTGGCTTTAAGAATGGATCATTATACATGAAGAGTTTCTTTAATGCAACTTTGCCTTTCTTTTTAAAGTAGGCTTATAAAATCTTTCAGAAATATTTTTTTTTGATAGGAATTGAAGGCCTCATTAAAAACCAATCTTTCAGAAATATAGTTTTTCATCAAATTCTATAGTATTATCTTACATAACCATACAGTGAGTTATAACATCAAGCGATAGATGATAGGTTGCAGAATGTCTTGCTTACCGATTTCTAGAGGTTTTGTTTCTTTTTGATCATGATGTCCTTGTTTGGTGTTGACAACTGCGCTCTGTCTACTTCTCTCATAATTAGTTTGAATCAAAACCTGGTAAAAGGAGTGAGCTTCATGGTAGGTTACTCGCACTATGGCAATGATATTAAACCAGTGACTTGTAACTTGCAAGAACCTGCAAGGTGATGCTCTCCAAATGGATTGACAAGGAACTCTGTGTCAATGATCATTTCTTCTTGTCTTTGTACTCTTTTGTATTGTTTAACAAACCTTGTCTGGTTTCTTAATTTTTATGATCATAGTTGCTGAGGGCTTGCTCTTTTGTATTAGAATCCAGATACCAATAGATAATGTGGATTGCTTTTAATTCCAATATACACTTTTATGGTTCCATACTAGAAACATTGTTGCATCTTTGAAGATGTTTATGGAATTGTTCATATAAGTGAGTGATTTAAAAGTTTGGTAGTAAAGAAAAATATCTGTGACTTTTCATATATGCTTTAGGACCATGGGTCTATATGCTATCTTTTGGACTGATATTCCCTCATCTAGTTTTTTTTAATAGATTTCAGCCGTGATTAGTGCTTAAACTTCGGAGATATTTGTTTTTCAGTCTCGCATTAAAAAGATTATGCAAGCTGATGAAGATGTTGGGAAAATTGCATTAGCAGTGCCTGTTTTAGTTTGTAAGTGGCAGTAACATTCATCTTTTACATAAATAATTCTCCCACAGATGTATATTACTTGCTCATGCTTCTTTCTTTTACCTTGCACTCTACAGCTAAAGCCTTGGAATTGTTTCTACAAGACCTTTGTGATCGTACATATGAGATTACCCTTCAGAGAGGTGCAAAGACCATGAATTCATTACATTTGTGAGTGAAGAATTAACATTATTCTTTGTAGTTTGCAATATTAATTTTCTACTTGAGGATTTATATAAATTTTTATCCATATAACATTCTTTGGCCATTGTGTTTAAGTATTTATTGACTACACATATTCCACTTCTCCAAAATACCAACATTCAAACATTTTTCTATACTAAACATGAATTGAACCGTCTGCTGGCCTGTAATTTGTGTTACTCAGACTTGGGGGTAATTATAGGGTATGGATTTATGTCCAAATAGGATATGCTCAGAAAAGAAAATTTCTTTCAGTTTTGCTACACGTTTATACCCATATCAAAACATGTGTCAGAAATGGTTGTCAGATATGGATGCTTTAGGGAAAATGAAGAGTTGGAGCAACATATCCTGTAACTACTACAATTTATTACAACTTATAAGATAATCAGTAACAACTTCTAAGTATTTTAGTCTACTAAGAAATTACAACTTGGCATCTACATTGGCTTAAATGATATTCTTTTTCCTTCTATCGGATGTAGAAGTGCTCATATTAGTACTCAATGGACAAAAAATGAACGATCTTTTTTCAATTTGTCCCCGCCCGCCCCCCAAACAAAAGATTTGCTGAGTTAAAGAGAAGAGAATTGACACGATATCGTATGTAGAGTGAAGGGAGAAACACATGGAAAATTTATGTTACTCAGATTTGGGTGTGAGTATTGGATATGGGTATGTGTTCGACACAGGTATTCAATTTTTCACAAAATTTTCTTGTATTTGCGGAGTCCTTGGAGAATGATATACCATGCTCATGTTTGAACATGAGTTATGTATGGGCGTTGGACATGAGTACTTGAAGAAAAATTGAGTCTATCATCACTGCAAACTAATGAAAAGTAGCATGCCAAGTAAAAAAAAAAAGCAACATGATATAGGAGTATCGAGATTCCTTGGTGATCAACTAACATCCGTTTATGTATTCTCACAAGAGCTTTTGGGATGTTTAGGGTGAATGGAGGAGTAGAAAGTTTATTGTAAATGTGTTCTTTGATTCCAATGATCGAAACTAGTGTTTCAAAATTTGTAAATCTACATCATCCTTTTCCAACAAATTTTATTCGTAAAAGGTTCTAATTTTATGTTGGACCTGGTCCAGATTTTCCTCCTTTTCCGGTCACAAAGTATTTAGATACCGATCAACTATGCTGATTATTGTAGATGGAGAATCGTGATTCTGAATTCTCCTTTTCCAGATCATGCTACGTTTTTCAATTAACAAGTCTTCTGATCAGCATGGTATCACATTATGTTACTTCCAATCTTGTTTGTGTTTATCCCTGGTTATGTATTTGTCTATCTGTTGTGTGTTGGTCTAACTAAAGTGTCGAACTAAACTGCAGAAAGCATTGTGTACAGAGCTATAATGTATTTGATTTTCTGAGGGACATCGTTAGCCGGGTTTCTGATTATGGTCATGGTCATTCTGATGCCGTTGCTGCCGATGATCGAAGTGTTTCAAGGAGAAGGTTAGATAAAGCTTTACTTCATGTTTGGTACTTTTTAATTCATAGAAAGATATTCCATGATATGTTTCCATATCATTCTGCCAGGAAAGCTGCTGGAGATGAAGTCCATGACAGTGATGAAGAATCAAAGAGGAGCAAAATGGTAAGATGGCTTCTATTTAACATCTTTGTGCGTATAAAATATTTAGACACATTGTATGAACATACAACATAGGATGCACTTTTGTGCAACTTTAAGAATGAATGGCGGCGAATGTTTTTCTTCAGCTACAGAGGTATCTGGTGAACTCCAGTTTATTATGCTAAACTATCTTACTCGTACTTGGGTCAAGTGTCGGATACGGGTATATATCTGACACTGATATGTTCAATTGTTTATAATTTTTTTATCTGACATTGATATATTCATTTCTTTATAAGCTTTGTCCATGCATTTGGAGGGTGGTTTATATCTTCATACCCATGTCTGGATATATCTTCGGACAGTATTTTGAAAAACTAAACAGGTGGAGGCTTGGAGCAATTTAGATGCCAGAAACATCTGCAAAAGACGAATTGGTTATATATGTTTATGTGAATTTTGGTACTTCTAATAACTGACATTTTTAGACGTACTCTATGCAGCATGATATGGGTCATGCAGGCACCATTGGTAAAGGGAGAGGCAGGGGACGAGGTAGGGGACGTGGCAGAGGAGGCCGAAATGCGGAAAGGGAAGCTCATCGTGAAATAGAACTGGAACCCCACTCAGTTCTTCAGCAAAACAACAAAAGTCATTCAACCCCTGGAATGGTTTTAGATGATGGTTCCGAGTCAAAGGAACTGATCAAAGAGAACACAATTGCTGAAGATGCCAATCAAGCCGTTCGGAATTTTGATCTGAATTCTGAGATAGAGGAGAACATGGATGGAAAGTATGCAGCAGATGCTGCTACCGCTACTGCAACTGCTGACCCAGCAACAGCAGCAGCAGAGGCTGCAGCTCAGCCTTCTTCAGCAGATCCTAGAACTGAGACCAAACATGAAGAATACCCAGGCTGGTCTCTTTCAGACATGGACAAGATGGCCATTGATCCTCATCAAATTGCTCAGCTTGGCAAAAGGTTAGATGAAGACGAAGAAGATTATGATGAGGAAGGGTAGGGAAAAGCAGTTATGTTGCAAGACTGGGAGGAAAAGTTAGTTTTTAAGATCAGATAAGAAAAGGTAAAACTTGAGATAACTTCATCAGAGTATGGAAGCATATCCTATGTAGGTCCTCTCTGTCTGTTTACTGTTCTCATCGTTCATAATGTGTTATACATTTGCTAACGTAACTTTAAAACGGTAACTTCCGGGAACATTCTCGTCACTATTCCGGGAACATTCTCGTCACTGAACGAGAGAACATGGCTTTTTAGTGTGACAGAATTGCCCTTAGGAAATCTATGTTTTAATTATCATCATTTGCTCGATTGTATTTTCAGTAGTTCATGATTCAGCAGTCTTGTCACAGTTACTTAAAGAAAATGAGGAGTCGGGAAAGAATAAAATAGGTAGCCTTTTTCAATTGTATGGGTGCATCGCAGCAATTGTTCTGATGAATGTATGAGGTTTTAATATTGCATTAATTTTTAAACGTGTCTGAAAATGTGTTCGCCATTGCCTGATTTATGAGGAAGAAAAATTGAGTTGAGCAACAACTTAATCGGGAGGTTCTGATGTGCAGCATGTAATTTAAGGTTAATTTACGGCGTGATCGGTTCACCAAGTAGAGATGCACAGAAGCCGGATTTCAATCCGATCCGGATCGGATAAAAACCGATCCGGTTTTTTCTCCCAACCCAAAAATCGGATTTTAAAAAAACCGGTTCGGATCCTAACCGGTTTGGAGGGTCGGATGGTGTAACCGGTTTCAGTTTGCAAAAAATCGGTTTTAAAAAAAAACCCGGATTTTTTCGGTTAAAAAACCGGTTTTTTATCCGGTTTGAAAAAAACCGGTTGTTCAATTTTTTCTCAAACCGGTTATACTATCTGGTTTTTAAATATCCGATCCGGTTTAAAAAAAACCGGTTTTTTTCAAAATCCGGTTTCGGATATTTTTTACCCAAAATCGGATATTCGGATTTTTTGTGCACCTCTATCACCAAGTAATCAGTAGAATTTGTTCACCAAGTAATCGGTAGAATTTAAAATATTACTTGTTTGAAATTTATACATGCATTGCATTTTATCTATATTTTTAATTTTCTAACTGCCGGAGGTCTTTCACAGAAGTAACTCTCAAACTGGTGTTGGGGTAGCTTACTACCCTACCTCCTTTTATCCCATTGCATATGAAAATAGAGTTTTATTGTTGTTGTTGTTGTCGGTTCACCGAATAATCAGTAGAATTTGTTCACCAAATATTCGGAAGAATTTAAATAACACTGTTGAAATTTAATCTCTGTCCAGTTTAAAAAATTACATATTTCATAAGAATTCTGATTAAAACTTTTATTGTTAGAAAAGTTTCTGAATTGAATGAAAGATACTACATACGATAACTTTTTACACTTTAATATGAAAAACTATTAAATTTATATCATTTATTATAAATAATTAAATTTTAGCTTTATACTTTAATATAAAAAAATATTCAATTTACATCATTTATTATAAATAATTAAATTTTAACTTAAAATATGAATATTTCTTCTCTAAAAAGTTATATATTTGATTAGAATTTAGATTAAAATCTATAATGTTCTATAAGTTTCTCATTTGCATAAAATTTATTTATTTACAACTATCGATAACCTTTTTTTTGCTCGTATTATTCGTGTTTTGCTCCCTTCATTGTATGCTTTTGTCAGTGCTGCTTTGACGGGTGGCAGAATGCCATTCATGGGATTTGGATACCCCTGAGCAGAAATTATTTGAAAACAAAAATGTATTTCATAAACACAATAAAAAAAATTGTATATGTTATATAGAAAGATACAGAAGAAGAGTTACCTGGAATTTAGATAACTCCATAACAGTATCGAAATCCTCCTGGCTTATTGAATAAGTGTTCATAAACTCTAATACCTGCTTAACAGCTTCATCCTGATCCATATCAGAGGAAAATGGAAACACTTTACAACAGTGATCCCTAGCATAAAATATAAGGCACAAAGGACAACTGCAAGCACATTCAGATGTTCGTATACAACAACACATCACGATTAATGGAAGAGAAAAATTATAACAATAAAAATAAATAAAAAATAGAAACAGGAGAACCAAAAGTACAAGTAGAACAAGATAAATAACATACATCACAATAAACAGATGAACAGACAAAATAAATGGAACTGGGAAACAAAGATGCGATTGGTACAAGGAGAACAAGGAAAATAATTCTTCAAGCCCACAAACCAGGCATGATGCAGAAGCAAAAAAAAAAAAGCAGCAGAGTGCAAAACTTGAGGTGGTCCAAGGTTACAATAGTTGGAAGTGTGTTTCACATAGCCCCTTTCTCATTACGCCCATCTCTCAAACAGCCAGATCCATCAAACAAGGAGCCAATCATTTTTATAAAATAGGTAGAGAAAGGTTCTTTAAAATACAGAGAGAGATGACCCCCACCCCCCACCCCAATTGCTTTTATATAATTCAGAAGGGCAAACTAAAAATAACACTAGTAGTTCAATGTGCGCTTAAAAAACAGGGGCATGAAATAGAATGGATGATACAGCCATTGGTCATGATACACCGTAGTCTTACATCTCTAGTTGCAAAAGAAGACGTAATATATATATATAACACACACACACACGTAAATCAATACAGATCACTCAGATATTATGGCATTTTTTTTCATAAAAGTAACAATAACGGAAATCTGAGGTGCCGCATTAAAACGATGATTAGGTATCACTTTACCACACAAGACAACAACATAAAGGGGGTTTGACTCCCCAAAACTTTTGAGTGGTAACCTTGGACACTGGACGAGCTCTGCCTAATATCTTCTTCATTCTCAAGCTCTCATCATGTTGATGTTATAAAATGCAAAAACACAGAAAATGGTTTTGAGGTAACCTAAAAACCTTTTCTCATTAACTGATACCTCCACCACAACCCAATTTCTAGCCCTTGACTTAATTATCGTTAAATTCTAGTCAATCACCGTTCATCTGTTACCCATCATCATCCCTCTCTCACTCTATGTTGATGAATTGCTAACTTCTCACTATGAGCCCTCAAGCTCTCAACCTTGGACTCTTCGTCTATATCATGTAATACAAATTTCGCCTCATGAATATAACCCGATTCTTGTTTCATCCTTTGTTCCTTCTCCTTTAACACGTCATGAATTTTCTCTATATCTGGTGAGTGTCATCACTGTCGTAGAAAAAGTGGACCATCTTGTCAGCTTCCACCCAACAAGGCCCTGCCTCTTTCCTTAACCTCTTTGCTTTTGCCATTTTTCTTACTTGCTTAAACCCGTAAATGTTTGAATCCTTCCCCTAGTTGCAAGTTCTCATGAAATCTACATGCACCAAGCAACATTTATCATATCCCTGTGTTTGGCTTTAATAACATGCTTTCTATGAGATATTTAGCTTCTTAAAGCGTCCATCTCGACCAAGAAGATCAACCATGCAGGCCTAGTACTCTATTCCGGGTTTAATCCATTGATTACGACACAACTGTGAGAAATATTCTTCACCTTCCTTAATGAGTCTTGAATGACTACAAGCTGAGAGTGTATCCAAATAACTATCCCCGTCAGACAGTATACCTTCACTACCTCGTTTTTTTCATTGTGACTGTTGAATCTTATTTGACTTGGTTTAGCTTTGATGTTGGCGTAGACCGGATGGTGGTGGACATAAGTGATGGTGAGGTTGAGACATTGGTGTGGAAGTGAGACAATGATGGATCTTCGTTACAAGATTTGTGATCCACCAAGTTCTTAAGGCTCTATATTAATCATCTAAAACGAAGACGATTGAAGAGAAACACATACTTTTCTTTTGTTTGATATATGAGAATAGGATGGTGAGCTAAAAGAGACTGCTATTAAAGAATGAGTCCAATAGACGCACGCCTTATTATGCTATTTCTTCTTCTTATTCTTCGTACGGGGTTTAGCTTGGTCTTCTGGAAGGAATCTCGTGTTTGTCATTAAAAGCCTCACACATCCAACTTAACTCTCCTAATCCTACTAATTTTCTTATTAATTAAAATATCTAATTTCTATAAATAATATATATTAAAAGAACAATGAAAATGGCGTTTGTAAAAAGATGTACTAGCACGTTGAAGTTGGTGTTGTAGGGCGTGCAGGGTGAGAGAGCTATCGGTGCCGCTGTGATTGTTTTACATGGCCATGCATCTTTGCCCAGCTTTTAGAAGAATATCATATTTTATCATGTGATAAAAGTTCAGGGTTAGTTAAGTTGAAAGGTGAGGGAAGCTCAGGTAATTTATAAAATGAGGTGGTGGTGATATACAGAAGGGTGATGAGGTAATTGGTGTTTTGGATACGGGGTCTTAGTGAGGATTCGATTCGGTATTTGAGGTAGAGGTGTCGATGGTGAGGGTCCATTTTCTATGTTGATGAAGTGTTAACCTTTTTGTTGTTGTTGAGGATTCGGTATTCTCAAACATGGATGTGTTAGATTTTGAGTTTTTCTATATGTTTAATTATTACAAAATCACACCTCTACATCTCCGTCTAAAAATGTCAAACACAAATGTTGGGCATGTATATTTTTAAGAAAAAACAAAGAGTCGAAGCAGGGAACTCATACAGTGATCTCCTTAAATTTACAGTTGTGTATGTAGGCAGATGAGGAACTACAAAGAAAACTCACCTTCATTGTCTTCTTTTGCCTTCCATTGGAGAAAGATTGTACCCTGACCATTGATGTCATCATCTTCAGATTCTGCCTTATAAAATCAATGGGAAGTGCACCACCAAGGTGTACCATTAAACCAGAGAACTTCATAGCCCCATTTTGAAGGCATGGAAGCACGTGGGGTGAATGTCAATAGAAGAGCGGTCCCAAAGAGTTTTCAACTTGCCCCTGCTCATAACAGAATGTACTGTATGAAAGCAGTAGTAAAAAGATCAACCATGATTAAAATGAACACCCTTTCGAAGAAACAAAAGAGATAAGCTCTAAAATGAAATTCATAACCATTTCCATCTACTGTTTCTTTTTTACAAGGCCAGAAGCATAATCACTCAAACCACAAAATTTATCAGCTAATTAATACTAATAGTACAGTTCCAAAAGTTGACTCATTTTTTACCAGGAAGAGCATAAAAACTTGTGATGAGCCTCTACCAGCAGCCCCATAGAAATGACGAAATAAAAGCGTCATCTTTAGCAGGTTCCAAATGTCCAGGAGCGCTTGTTCTGGCACCAAATGAATTCGGATGGCTACCACATACAACAATCAGCAGCTCTTCTCTCATTAGCCTTAATAGTATTATTCAATCAATCACTTGGGTCTCTCAAATGAAAGAGTTGACTAAAGTAATTAAATCTTATTACTTCTTCCGCTGCTTGCGGACCTTCACATATTTTCTGGCAGACTTGTCACCACCACTGGTACCCAATGAGAAGCTCCCTCCGACACCAAATTCCAGACTACCAGAAGCCAGAAATGGAGATGGATTCTGTGGTGCGGCTATGCTTGGTTGGCTTCCAATATGAAAGGAGCCTCCTCCTGATGGATTTGATGCACCGACAACAAACCCAGAAGTAGGCAGTGTGATTGGCTGTTGACCAAATGGCGCAACAGTTGGTGAAGCCTGAATTGTGTCATCAGCCATACTATCTTCCATTTGATCATTATTAGTAGAAGGTGTTGACTCAAACACCAATCCAGGACTAGTATTACCAAATGCATGCTGTGATGGATTAGCTGCTGAAGCTGAAGCGAATGAAAATATGGAACCTGAGGAGCCACCGGTGGATGACCCAAAGATTGAAGGTGCATTGCTAGGAGCATTAACAGAAGATGATGATCCAAAGCCAAATCTAGATGATGAAGAGCCAAATATGGGTGTCTTAGGGGCTTGCCAATTTGAGCCAAATGCGCCAGAAGCAATGCCACTGCTAGAGCTCAGAGAGTTGGTTTCTGAAGAGGAAGAACTTACTCCAAAAGTAGCACCTGAACCAAAAGGTTTAGCAATGGATGCCGATGACCCAAACATTGAACTGCCAGAGGAAAAAGTTGTATTCCCAGCCAATCCAAAGGATGAAGATGAAGCAGACGAAGAAAACTGAATGGGCATGCTTTGAGTTGAGGTACCAATGCCAGTTCCCACAACAGATAATTGGGTATTAACAGCATTGAAAGGATTTAAAACCTGAGTCTGGGTAGTGGATGTAGATGCAGCTGTAGCACTGAATCCAAAGATGTTGCTTCCAGTGCTCATGATTGCAGATTTATTAGAAAAGATACTACTTCCTGTACCAACTATTGCCGAAGATGTACCACCAAAAGTACTACAGGCTGTGCTTGTAGTTGCGGATGTACCGCCAAAGATAACATTGCCCGTGCTGGTAGTTGCAGACGTACCACCGAAGATACTACTGTCTGTGCTTGTCACCGTGGAAAATGTGCTGCTAAAAAAGCCACTTCCGGAGTTCAAAATGGTGGAAGATAAACCACTGAAACTGCTATTTCCAGATCTTGCGACTTCAGCTGTCGTGCCAGAAGTGCTGCTTGCAGCACTTTTAACTTCAGATGTACCACCAAAAATACTACTTCCAGAACTAGTAAAAGCAGATTCGGTTGATTCCCCCGAAGTTGCTGCTAATGTTGAAACTGAAGTTGAAGGGTCCACAGAGGAAGAAAACTTGAAAACAGGTGCAGCTGTAAAGTGAGGGATTGAAGACTCCACGGTCGGGTTGCTGGTATGGCTGATGGTGGCATTCACAGTTGCACTTGAAGAGGTGGCAGCAGCAGCAGAAGCATCTCTATTGGTGGCAGCTGCACTGGATGTTCTTTGACCAGTACTTGGAACTAGAGAAGGCACAGGTGGAGAGAATGAAAAAGGACTTGAAGCAAGAGACCCGTTATTTAAGGGAGAACTATCTTTTGAGGCACCAAACTTGAAGATACTTCCAGCTGATGTAGAAGTTGATACAGAAGAGGTGATTGCAGCTTCAGGTTTCCTACAGAAGATCTCATTCAGATTGTTCTCCATGTCAGTTTTATCTGACAAATTATTGGTTGTACCAGGAGCAGCGGCAGCAAAGCTGAACATAAGGCAACACAGCTTTTCAAGAAGAGTACCCCAGGAAGGATGAAAAACAAAACAAAACAAACTAGATATACATTAGACTATAACAGTTAGTCATATGGGCGACATACTCCAATAAGATTATGACACGTCATTTATTTGACTAACAGTTGACGTCTTGGGTGCAAACAGATGGATGACGACTTCCAAGTACTAAATTGTGAGTTTTTATAGTTTAGACGCTAAATTGAAATTTTGATTACACTTCTGTCGCATATTATCAGAGAACCTCACCATGCAAAACTAATTATCATCAAATGGACCAAAAAATTAAATAAATCCCAAATTAAAATCTACCATCTTGGAAGTCAGCTATATAATGGATTCTAATGCGGTGAACTATCATCAGCAATATAAGATTTATAATAATAAAATTCAGTTATTAGAAGCTAATCAATCTATGAAGAAAGTTCTCCCATTCTTTTTTCTTCCAAACCCATTTGCAAGTTTGAAGGTAAAAAGAAAGCAACCTGATGGGCGGAAATGTAAGATAAAAATATTAGCACAGAAACAACTTTTACCTTCTTTGACAGTGAAGACCGTAAGAGAGTTTTATGCATTGTTGACATGAAATCATCATTAAAATCAAATTTGGGGGATAAAAAGATAGTCATAAAATAAATCATCAAATGTTCACTAGACCATAATCAGGTGGATTAACAGAATTGAGTATCCGTGTTATAGTGGAGGTGAAGGATTTACAGAATTTAATAGTGACAAAGAAATTACTAAATGTTCACTGCATCATCAGGAGGATTTAAAGGATTTAGTGATGATATGAGGGAGGTAGAAAGGGTTAGATTTACCTCCAAAATCCCCTCTCATCTTTTATAAGAGCTGGATCATGATAGGGAAAACCTTTTAAACCCAGTCAGTCAACTAACTACTAATCTACTCCATTCAATTGGATAATAGTAACTCTACAGCCAAGGGTTAGATTCACCTCCAAAATCCCAACCCATCCTTTTATAAGAACTCTGAAACATGTTGGGTTAAAGCTTTTACTCCCTTTCAATCAACTAACCACTAGTGTACAACTTTTAACCATTATTAGTAATCCTACAAACATGGGCCACATTGGAGGTATAGAAAGAAAGGGGAACAGAAGACAAAGGTAAACAACTTTCCAAGTAAGGGAAGTTGAATAATGGATATTTACCAACCTGCTTGAGTTCTCTAATTTTTGGTTTGAACTTGTGGCAAGCTTAACACCTGAAGATTCAGTAACTGATGAAACCTCACCAGCATTTGTAGAGGCAAAGCCAAATGTAGTAACAGAAACATTTGATTGTTTTGCAGCCAAAACTTTCTCCCCAATGCTAAGCATATAAGGAGCATTTGGGTGCAAAGAGACATCAACTTTACTCGCAGTTAGAGTTGATGGAGATGCCATAAATGCTGACTGCACAGATGAAGTGGCCATCTCTACAACTGGAAAAGTAACACCAGCACTCTTTTCACTAGCTGTGGATCCATCAGATGTTTTCAAATCAGGTTTTTGATTGAATGCAGCAATTGGTTCAACTTCAGAAAGAATTGAAGGCTTCTTTATAGCTTCAACAGCTGCACTCGTACTCCCCACGACACAGTTATCCAACCTCCTGCTCCCTTCAGCATGTTTGGATCCGTTAGGATAGTTATCATCATCCAGATCCAGAAACTCCTATAGCAGAAACCATAAACACTAAGGTGTTAAAAATGGAAACAGAATAGGGGAAAACTGAAACTTAAATATATTCCTTCTCAATTCAAAAGGAGGAATTTAATAGAGCCTCATCTTGTGGAAACAATAACAGGCTACAGGCAAAACAAACAGAAGTTTTGATCAGTAATAGCTCAATATGATTACCAATTAACATATACCTCATGTGCACTCATCTGAAAAGCCTGACTCTTTTTTTGAGTTTGCTGTACGAGAGACTTGATCGCACTAGAATCAGTAGCATTAACACTAGGCACATTATTATCCTTCATTAAACTATTACTATCTATACCATTTACCGCAGGAACTGGCTTGTCAGGGAGAGCACCCAATGCTGTTGAGCCATTTTCTTTAACTTTATCATGTTTGTGAGAGATAGAGTCTTGAAAACCAATCAGTGCAGTAAGAGAACCATTTAATTTATCATTATCATTCATGTTCTCCAGAAATTTTGAAGAATCTACAGTCTCAAGGCTTTTAAGAGCCCGCCCACGTAGCATAAATGGTGACAACTTGGTGGGTGTTTTTCCCCCTGGGGAAACCATGATGTCCAGTTGCTGTAATATTTTTGAAGCCACCTGACAGGACTTGGATGGAACAGTGGTAAACCTTGTGCCAGGAGTGCTGTTATCCCCATTCTCAACTAGGCAATCTAAACCAGATGAACTAGTGTCGGCTACGTGAGCAGATAGAGGACCAGTTGAAGCTGGTAAACATAAGGTTCTTGAAGAAAGAAGATTGGACTTCTGACGAATCCACCGAATTGGGCCAACTGATCCTATATCATTGTCTAATACCAAATTCCTGAGCTTCCAAACCTGCGAATAAAAGAAATGCATACTGTATGATACACTCTAGATTTATAAAAGAAAATCCTGGAGGGAGAAATATAATGAACCTAAATTAGTAACCTCTGACTGGAACCAGAAATTCTGTTTTGCTCCCATGCACTCTGAGGCGATGATGGTCCATCAAAAGCCTCACTTGCAGTTCCAGAACTCTACAGAATAAGCAAACAACTAGGATAAGACAAATGATAAACAAGCAATTACAGAAGAGGAAATATTGCCAAGCAAAACAAAGTTAGGGGGAATTGCTGCATTAACCCTGGAATCAGGTGTCCGTGCCATGCTATATATTGCAGATCTGCCCCTCAATCTTGGGGTCACAAAACTGCTTCTAAGACTCCCAGCATGACCAGAAGATCTTGGCAATATCAACATTGTGGAAGGCGTAGAAGAGAAAATTTTATTTCTCGGAAAAGTTAAATCTTCACTGGGCACATGATTTTGTAATCCAGGCCTAGATACAGAAACATTTGTTGTCCTACAGCCCATGTAAGCTTTTGCAAGCTCAGCAGGTGAAGCAACAACCTCATCAACAACCTGCAGAACCATTAAAGTTCTTATTTTTAGTTATTTTCCTCTCAATCTACGAAATTAAAATTATAAAGACTAGATAAAAGCATGTGAGGGTATGTTAGCCCAGAAGCAAAATCAAGGAAAGAACGCTTTTCCTTACAGCTGAGCTGACAAGATGTGTTGAAATAAGATGGTTTTCAGTCACATTCTCTCTAACTGGGGTCTTTGGAAATTCTTCTTTCTTGTCGTGTGATACCATTGAGACCAAGGCAGACCTCTGTTCTTCATTTCCACCAGAAATGTCAGCACTTCTTGAGTGTAGTAAACTCGTCAAATGATTAATTTCAGATCTGAAAAAAGAATAATAACATTTATTATCTATAGAATCAATTAAATTCCTGATAACAGAAATACTACTACTCGAGTAGAAACAACATGCTAACAGCCCAAAAAAGGACCACTGAATTAAAAAATGATGTACAATTGGAAGCTGGATTGCCAAGAAATCAACTACAAAGGTTGCAGGAATAACCAGAATTTTTAGATCAACGTGATAAAATCCAATTCACACTTTCAGCCCTTTTCTTCCAGTTGATGGAAACTAAAAGAAATAGAAACTTCAGAATCTAAAGCGAGGAAATTATCACAATTGACACGGTTCAAAAAATTCCCTCAAAAGAAGGTAGCATAATTAACCTATGTTACTTGGACTCAGACGTAAGTTTCAGATACGGGTATGGTTAGGTTTTCTAAGTTTTTCTATAGATTTGAATGATACTTGCAGATCATATCCCCGTATCCAAGTGTCAGACAACGGTTCTTGATGAAAAATGAAGAGTCCAAGCCACATAAGATGCCATTTCAATTCGACATCAAGAAGATGCAATTTCAGCTCATCTTGCCTGGTAAATGTCTTCCGCTCTAAAATTTCCTCAAGTTCAGTAACTCCAGTTTCTTCAGTATGATTAACGGGATTCCTGCATCCTATAATGGCTCCTTGCAGAAAACATTCGTGTGATAGTAGTAATCCTATTTTGTTTAGAAGTCTTTTAGGACAAGAAAGATAAGTATTTGGAGTATTCATAATCTAGATAGAAGTTACTCAAAAATAACAGTGTCGAGCACAATGGAGAGAGTGAGAGAGCGAGAGTGCAAGTTTTCTGATGGAAAAGTGAGTGAGATCCATGGAGGGGGTACTTGGTCTGCGTTTGTTGATAATCTTAGTCGGAGAGTGAGCAGAAGAACATAAGGGGAACTTTTTAGTTATCATGGCAAAGTCATTAGGGTGTTCATTCCATTTATCAATAACAGACCGAAATATAAGGATTGCAAGTTTGCGTTCGTTCACTTTGCAAGCAAGGAGGATCTATGCAATGCGGTGGAGAAGACGAATAATGTCAGGGTTGATGGGAAGATAATTTCTGTGTCAGTAGCTAAATATGACAAGCTATCTGAGATGAAGAGTCGTGAAGGGTTTAGAGCGGGGGGTTCCAAAAGGTTAGAAACAGGTGAGTTGAAAGGCAGAAGAATGATCTCTCCAGCACAAGTGGCAGAGCAAATGGAGAGGATGAATAGGTTCCTTGATGGAAGAACGTATAGAGACACGGTAGTTGGGGTGAAAAAAGTTCTAAAGGGCCTTCAAGTAAGCAGTCAAGGGAATAAAAAAGAGGAGAATAAATCTTTGGAAGTCTTTATCCTAGTGGAAGAGAGAATATGGTTGAAATCTTCACTTACTGGCATTTGTAAAGATATCTTTGAAGTTGATTTTGTGCAGAAAGCCTTACGGAACGAGGGCTTCAAGGCGAAAGTGATAAGGTGGGGTTTTGCAAAGAATGCGTGTCTTGTAGTTTTTCAGTCGGTCGAGGAGAGAAGAATTGCAATGGAAGAAAGATGGGAAGCTCTGTCATTTTGGTTTCAATTATTGGATCCGGTTGTGGACGAGGGGGGCATCCCATTAGCTTATTGTGCGATTTCAATGGTTGGTGTTCCATTAAATTGTTGGTCGGTCCCGTTCTTTTCTAGTTTAGCATCCAGATGGGGCAAGTTAGTTAGAATTCAAGATCAAACTGCACATAGAGTGGATTGTAGAGTGGCACAGTTGTTACGAAGGGTTGAGAGTCCATTTGATATTCCCGAACATGTCATCATCGATACATATGGGAGGAAGTTCATGATTAAAATTAAGGTTGAATGTGTGGAGGATTTTTTTCCTGAGTTAACAGACATGGAGGAAAAAGAAGTTGCAGAAGACCCATGGGAGAAAAGTTCTTCGAAATGGAGCAATGAAGAAGTGCAAAATGGACAGGAAGAGCAGGTGGGAGAGAAGGAGCTGTCAGAATCCCAAAATAGGGTTGACAAATGGGTTAGAAGTTCCCAACCAGGGATATACACAAATACCGAGGGGGGTTTGAATTTAAACATAGGAATGGAAAATACATTTGACCTGTGCAAAGATGGGACTCAGGCAAGTAATGTCTTCATCCAGCAGGAAAAGTCAGAAGAAGTTAATGAAGGGAGAGAAAATGGAAAATGTCTGGGAGATCCTCCCAATGAGCATGAGAAAGTTGACTGTGGGAGTGGGTTTCTTAGGGGCCCGGTAGTACAGGTGAGGAGTGGGCTGGATCAAGAGAAGGAGAGATTAAGCAAGGATTATTGTACTACTACAACAGGATTCAATGGTGTGCAGTATCATACTTCCCTGCAGGAGAGGTCTGTTTCTGTGTCTGCTCATAAAAATTATGGGAAGACTGTATCTGGGAGTAGAGTGGGAAGGGGTAAGTGCAAACGTGTTTATTCACGATCAGGGAGGGGGGGATCTAGGAGTCGTATTGGTACAAGTTCGGAGCATGCTTATAACAATGAGGAAGTAGATGAGGCAGAGGCTTTGGAGTGTTGGAACGTAAGTGAATTGTTAGGAGTCACATTCAGAGGGGGGAAAGAAGCTTTTATGAACAAAATGATTCCTTTGATAAAGGAGAAAGAAGTACAGGGGGTAATTAAGGGGTACTGGATTTTAGGGTTATAGCTGGATATTGATGACTAGTTGGAATTTAATATCTTGGAATATTAGAGGTTTGGGTAGGAGGGTAAAGGCTAGAGCTGTTAGGAGGGTTGTGGAGGAGAGAAAGCCTTTAGTTTTATTCATTTCAGGAATCGAAAATGGAAGTGGTGAATCAATCGGTAGTGAGGAAAATGGGAGGAAATTTGCTGACAGCTACGGCAGTTTCAACAGCTGAAGGTTCTGCTGGTGGTCTGATTACTTTTTGGAATGAAAAAGAGTGTCAGGGTTCAAGAGGAGATCATTCATAGGAGATTTGTAGCAGTTAAGGGTACTATTAATGAGGTACTAGGGTCTTGCTGGTTCATTAATATGTATGGACCGAGTGTGGAGTCAGAGAATGAGGCGTTCTTCGGGGAGCTGCTTTTATTTCTGGAGAATTTAGACAGTTCAGTCTGTCTCGGAGGGGACTTCAACGTGGTTATGTCACAGGAGGAGAAGATTGGAGGTGCAGTGAATTTAGCTTCAATGTTTGCTTTCAGAGAATTTGTGAGTAAAGTTAATCTAGTGGATTTGCCTATGGTTGGAGGTCGATTTACATGGTGCAATAATAGAGAAATTCCAACTTACGAGATACTAGACCTGTAATATCCCAAATCAGGGTCAGTGACTAAATTGTAAATTTTGAAAGTTTTGTGTTCAATTTAGAAATGAAATTAAAAGTCTCGAGATTTAAGTAAAGAATTTTAATATTGGATTAAATAGCAAAGATGGATGAACTAAAGAGGCAAAATGGTCTTTTCATGGGAAATATTTTTATCTTCCCTTTTTGAGTATTATAAAACGTGTGAAATATGAGAAAGTTCCAGACTTCTCTTCTTCATTCTCTTCTTTTCCACCGTGAAGCCATAAGCAAAGGTAAGATCTCTTGTTAGTTGATATTTAGCTGAATTTAGGATTTGGTTATGATTATTGGATGATAATTAAGCTTAAGGAAAGCTTAAATCATCTTAAAAACAAAGGATGGTGGAATTAGGAGAGATTAAAGATTTTGAGTTTTTGAATGAAATCTTGAAATAAATTTGATAAGTTGAATTTTAAGTTGAATTTGACTTGTCAATAGTTGAATTAAGAGATTTGGAGTGATAGAAAGGAATTTAGAACATGTTGAAATTTGAGTATAATTATTGAATTTCATTAAGAGGAGAGGATTTTGAGAATTAAGATGGGTTAAATGAGTACAAATGGGCTTAAGTATGTGTGTTTGATTTAGTATATAAAATAGGTTGAAATATGAAGTGTTTAAGATGAAATGAAGTAAATTTCGTGTTGAAAATATGATTTCTGGGCTAGGGGAATCGGTACCCATTCAAGGGGAATCGATACCCCCTCAAACGAACCAGAAATTCCAGAATCTCATAGGGGAACCGATTCTCCCACAGGAGGGAACCGATTCCCCCTAAAGGAAAATTGTGAATATGGGTTTAATAAGTTCGTTTAAGTTGCTAGTATCCAATTACAAGGTGTAGGTATCTAATGATTGCCTCAAAATGTACATTTATGTAGATTCTGCGGGTAAAGCAATTCCGGAACATTTGGCAAGTAAGATCGATCAAGGGAAAGATAAGAGATTGGAATTGACTAGTGAGGCCAAGGTGAGTGCATACTAGTGACATGTAGTGTTTAATGGAAATAAGACTTGCGATGAGTCTATTTCCTAGAGTAATATGCATGAAGTCATAGACATGATTATGTGTTGGTTATAACTATATGTGATTATATGTATTACATTGATTGTATGTATGCATGACTAAAGATAATGATATGCTTTGTATATGCTATATGATTTATGTAAAACTTTATTATGTAATAATGGAAGAACATGGAATAAGTTATATGATAGAGTCATAAGAAATGAAATGAACATGAGAGAATAAGATAATCAAGTCTAAGTCAAATGATATGGTATAAGTGATTATACGAGAAATGTTAGGAGACTCTAAGAGAATAGTATAAATTCGAGGGTATAAATAAGGATACATAAGTTATATAGAGAAGATTGATAAATTAAAGGAAACTATGGTTTATGTATTAAAGTGAAGAGCTACAAAGTTTTATTAAAGAGTATTGTGGAAGTCATGAGAAATTGAACTAAATAAATAGATGGTTTATGTGAGTGAAAATGGAAAGTGATATAAAATAAGTGGAAATTATTTATAGGATAGAATGATACTAATTGAACCTGTAATATAAACTTTATAAATGAGTACTTGGGTAAAATCATTATATGATACAATTATAGAATATTACTATACAAATTATATTAAAATAGTATATATGAGAATATGAGTAAGTTTATAGGTTATTGATAGGACATATAAGAGTATATAAATGTATGATAATATGAAAAAGTGAACTAAGTTTAATGATGTTGAACCCTATGAGTAGAAGTTATGTGATTATAAGTAACATGATTATATGATCACAAGATATGATACATGATATGAGATATATGAAAGATAAAATATATGTTATATGAAATATTATATGAGTATGCGATTATATGAAAATGTTCTACGCGTAAGTGAACCATGTGTTTATATGTATATGGGATATGGGATTTATATGACGATGAGCTATGTGAAAGAACTACATGACTATGTGTATATGTGAATGTATGTTAACATAAATATTAATGCCCATGTTATGTGTCATGAGGGCTAGGGGTATAGTTGGCATGCCAAGAGTCGAGGGTCTACGCGGTCCTTCGGGACATATATGTATTCTTTGGAACATGTGTGAAGTCTGGTGAGACACATACTTGATCCTTGGCATATGTATATGATTCTTAAGGAATGATATGTGGTCCTTCGGGACATATATGTATTCTTTGGAACATGTGTGAAGTCTGGTGAGACACATACTTGATCCCTAGTATATGTATATGATTCTTAAGGAATGATATATGGTCCTTATGGACATTATTATATGGCACTACGGTGCAATTCTACGCGGCACTCCGGTGCAATTCTACGTGGCACTTCGGTGCAATTATATGAGCTGTGGTGACAGCATAGTGCATAACCTCTATAGACTCACATATCTATAGTTCTCACATGTGTACATGGGCTTTGAAAAGAGAACATAATTTGATATAATGATATGTGTATTTCTCGTGACATGGTAGAAGTGCATATATGTCATGGTGATATGAGATGCTATGCGTTTATGTATTATATGATTATAGAAATTAGTAATGTATTGTGGCATATTAAAATATATATAATATGTTTATATTCATTATATGCTCATATGACGGAATTGAAGTAATGACAAGGGAATTAGTTAGGATAAACAGGTTGGTGCTATGAGAACAATGTATGTGATATATGTATATGATGTGTGATATGAATTGAATGATATGATATATGTGTGATAGGGGTTATGGTATCTGTTACATAATATACATGAATATATGTTGATGTATATGTAAATGAGTTGTATAATTTGATAGCATAAAACAATCATGCATCATTAGTGGGTATGAATTCCATTAAATGTGTTTTCTTTATGCCTCACTAAGTCATCGACTTAGCGTGTGAGTGTTTCACACGCAGGTTACAGAAAGTGAATATAGAAGTTGTGAGGAGCAATACAGGTCAGCATCTCCCTTACAAGATTTCAGATCAGAAAATAGACGAGTTAAATGATTTTTGTTATTTTGAATATAGTTGGCATGTACTAATTGATTGAGTTAAATATGCTCTGATTGATTTTGGTTATTGTGGTCAAATTATGTAACTAAACTGCTTTTACTTTAATGAAAGTTTTAAATTTTCTTTGAATTTTGTCAAGAGTCAAAGTTTGAAAAGTCAATGTGACACCTCGGACTCGTATCCAGGTCGGGTACGGGTTGGGGGTGTTACAAGACCGGTTCTTAGTGGATCAAAGTTTTTTATCAGTGTTCCCCATGATAACACAAAAACTCTTAGAAAGGCCTGTTTCAGATCATAACAGCATCTTACTGGAAAATAGGGGATGGAATTGGGGACCGAAACCGTTTAAATTATTTAACTATGTCATGGAAGAGGAGGGTTTTTGTAGAATGATGGAGGGAGAGCTGCACAAGCTATGTAGAGTGGAGAATAGACAACTGATTTCTACTATATTTAAAGGGGTGCAAGAAGCAGTGAAGAAATGGTCTAGGAAGGGGTATTTAGAGTTCCCCGGGAGAATAAATAGGTTGGAGAAAGGAATTCATGAGAAGGAACTTCAATTGCAACAAGGTCTCCCCTTGGTGTCTATGAAGAATTTAGTGGAAGCAAAGAAAGAGCTGTGGGACTTGTATAAAAAAGAGGAATCAATTTGGCTACAAAAGTCAAGATTGAAGTGGAGTTTGGAAGGGGATAAGAACACTAGATTTTTCAACCAATGTGCAAGAGGTAGAGGAAGGAGAAATGGTATCAAATCCATCAAAGTAGACAATGAAGACATTTCAGATCCAGAATTAATTAAATCTTCAGTGGTGCATTTCTTCAAGGGGTTGTTTAATCAGGAAAATACATTGGAAGTGGAGGAACTGGACCTGGATTTTTTACAACTCTCGGAACATCAGAGATTGGCCCTTGAGAAGCCTTTTTTTGAAGAGGAAATTTGGGGTGTAATTGCTAACTCGGATAGTAACAAATCACCTGGCCCGGATGGATTGAATTTAGATTTTTTCAAGAAGTTCTGGTCAAGTTTGAAGGAAGTTCTGTTGCTGTTTTTAAGGAATTTTATGAGGGAAAAGATTGGGATAATGACACCAATCACTCTTTCCTTTCTCTTATTCCTAAGAAGGCCAATCCGGAGGGGTTAGAAGATTTTAGGCCAATTAGCCTAGTTGGGGGTTTCTATAAAATTCTTTCAAAATTTCTAGCGAGAAGGTTAAGCTTGTGTATTAGTGAAGTTATTAGTCCATCTCAATTTGCATTTATACCGGGGAGACATATTTTGGATTGTTCGTTTATAGCAAATGAGGGCATTGAGTGTTGGAGGAAAAAAGGATTGAAGGGAGTTGTTTTTAAGGTTGATTTCAAGAGAGCCTATGATTCGGTTGATTGGAGGATATTGGTGAAAATAATGAGCAAAATGGGGTTTGGTGATAGATGGAGTTCTTGGATGTACAAGTGTATCTCAACAGCTTCCATTTCGGTTTTGGTAAATGGCACACCTACAGAGAGAATATACACTACTAGAGGATTAAGACAGGGTTGTTCATTATCTCCTATGTTGTTCAATTTGGGAGGCGAACTGTTACATCTAATGTTGGTGAAAGCAGTGAACAAAAGGTTGTTTGCGGGTTTTGAATTAGGCTCGATGGGTCGTTCTTTCATGTTATCACATTTGCAATTTGCGGATGACTTAATAATTTTTAGCAAGGCATCTACTCATGATTTGGTGAATATTAGAAGGGTGCTTTTAATTTATGAATTGTTGGTGGGGCTGAAGTTGAATTTGAATAAGAGCAGAATTTTTGGAATCAATGTGGGGGAGGAGGAGTTAGCTTCTTGGGCCAAGGAAATAGGTTGTGTAAGAGGAGATTTTCCATTAGAGTATTTAGGTCTACCGTTAGGGGCTAAGAGGAATTCCTTTTCTTTGTAGGAATCGGTGGTACAAAAATTTTATAATAGTTTGGCTGGGTGGAAGGCAAAGTCTTTATCTTTGGCTGGACGGGCAGTTTTGGTTAAATCAGTGTTGTGCTCTCTTCCAATTTATTACCTTTCTATTTTTAGGATCCCTATTAGTGTTCTCAACAAATTAAATTCTATCATGGCGTCTTTTCTTTGGGGGGGATCGACAGAAAAAAAGAACATCCATTGGGTCAAATGGGAATTGGTGTGTAAGCCAAAGAAGTTAGGGGGTTTTGGAATTCCAAATCTGTTGCTTTTAAACAGGGCTCTTATGGGGAAGTGGGTGTGGAAATTTGCTGTAGAAAATCCTCTTGGTGGAAAACAGTGGTCTGTTGTGTAAACAATATGGATCCAAATTCAATGATGATCCGGAATACTTGGACATCACGTACTTCTTGGATTTGGAGAGGAGTTGTTAAGAACTTCTTTTCAAGTGATGCATTTGGGGATTTTTTTAGGAAAAATTTGTGTGTTAGAGCTGGGAATGGAGAATCAGTGCAGTTTTGGTATGATGTATGGTTGGGTACGGTTCCTCTGAATGATAGGTTTCCAAGGTTATTTGCTCTGTCGAACAACAAAGGAGGGAAGGTTGCAGAGTTCAGGCTGTATAATGACTCGGATGGGGTCTGGGATATTCAGACAAGAAGGAATCTGGTGGATTGGGAGGTTGAACAGTGGCTGCAGCTTATCTCTCCCTTGAACAGTTACTCATTATCATTAGTTGAGGATGATTGTTGGGTTTGGTTGGGAACTGGTGAAGGCTGTTTTACGGCAAAATCATCCATGCAATTGTATTTTGATAGAGAGGGTAATGATGAAGTAGAAGGTAAGTGGGAAAGATATGCTTGGAAGGGGGTAGCTCCACCACGAGTGGAAACCTTTGTTTGGCAACTTACTCATCACAGAGTAGCGGTGAAGGAGGAACTGCTAAAGAGAGGAGTTACTGGGGTGGAAGACACTGTGTGTTCTTTGTGCAGGAAGTGTAATGAGTCGGTCTCACATTTGTTTCTGCACTGTGATGTGGTGTGGGACCTTTGGGTTAAATTCTTAAAGTTTTGGAATGTTTTCTTTGTGATTCCGACTAAGTTGATGGAATTCTTAATTGCGTGGGATGAGTTAGTTCCAAGATCTTTCATATGGAAGTTTATCCCTAGGGCTGTGTTGTGGTCGGTTTGGAAATGTAGGAATGAGGTGATTTTCCAGCAAGGGAAGGTTGATTTTGCGTTGTTGTTCTTCATTACAAGGTTCAGAATTATTTCGTGGTTTAGAACTTCATTTAAGGATATCCATATTCCTTTCGATTCCTTGATTGAGGACTTAAAATTAGTATACTGTAATGGTAATTTGAATAAGAGGGCTCCTCCTCCTTCTAGTTGGAGTCCTCCTCCGGAAGGTTTTTAAAAGTAAATGTTGATGGTGCAATGGTCAAAGGTTGGGATAAGGGGGAATTGGTGGATTGATTAGGGATGGGAGTGGTTCGGTGCTTGGGTCGTTTTCAGAGAAGGTAGGGGGAGGTCCTCCTTTACTTGCAGAGCTTTTGGTGATCAAAAGAGGGTTGATTCTTACTGAGGAAGTTGGTTACAGTCCAAGCCAGAGGATTATTTTGGAATCAGATTCGACTAATGCTCTAAAGTGGATTAAAAATCCGGACCTTAGTACTCCTTTATTTAAATCCTTGGTGACGGATATAGCTACTCATGTGGAAATGAAGGGTATTATTACAAGGCATATTCCGAGAGCTGCAAATTGGGAAGCGGATGAATTAGCAAAAGATGGTTTAGGTTGATTTTTAGGTTTCTATTGTGGTTAGAGGTGTTATATCTTGATTGTTTTTTAAGGGAGTTATTAGGGTGTGTTATGTATCCACAGTTGTGGCTTAAAGGTTATGTTGTTAGTAGTTAGTCATGTAGGTGTGGAGATGTATTATGGTTCTCATTAATAAAAGTTAGAGGCACTCTTTTCCTTCTTCCTATGCCCTTCATGTTATGTTTATTATAACATGTAGGGTATGAAGGGGGTTTTTAATGAGGCATTTTTATCAAAAAAATAATGGCTCCTTGCACAACAGGAGGAACCTAAGTGGATAAATGTACAAAAAACAACAAATCATACAAGTTGGGTTCATTAATCATCATAGAGAAAATCACAAAGGGGAATTTAAATAAATACATAGGAAAATATCATAAATATAAGTAACTGACAAAAAAACTTTAAAGTAACTTCCACAATTAACAATGAATAAGGGGGCATGAGAATTTAGGGCAGAGTCTGTCCCTAACATTTATTGCATGTGTGGTAATGTTCTATTGCTCTAGACAGAAGCTATAACATAACAAGAAATGGATGTTTGTTTTCAAACAAATATGAGTGCTTTGTGTTTCACTTACAGTTAATAAATCTAGTTAAGGCTTTGGCGAATATAGAAGAAAATGTTATAAAAATGAGAAGAAATAGATTAATTGTTTCAAATAAAAAATAGAATAGAACCGTTTTCTTTTTCAAAAGTAAATGAGAAGGGAGTGCTAAATGGTTCATGATAAATTTTATGTTCATCAAACTTTCTTAGTTTATACCACTTAGAAAGTTCCAATACCAAATACGTTCACCTTTATCATTCTAAAAAGTATTTGGCATACTAAAAGGTTTTCAAGAAAGTAAAAAAAGGTAATAAAAACACTACAAGAACACTAAAAGGAATACCACAAATGGAAATGTTTTAAGCCAAAAAAATAAAAAGCTGGACAGAACATTAAAACAACTAGTTTAAATAATACGTACTGTTGAAGTTGCTTCTGGTTGATTCTCCCTTGGTTCCTCATTAGTCCCTGATGGCATTATCAGTTTATCACATGTAATCAACATCACGGGAAAAAAAGAATAAAACTAATTCATGGTAATTTAATCTTCAACCATGCCTAACATAAAAAAAACTCATACACGAGCAGAGTTTAATAACCAATTATAATTCACTCAAGGCATTTTGATTCCTATCAATAACTAATTAACATATATCAAAGTACACATTAATTTCAAAGTAAAACATGGCGTAATCAAGAACAGTTTCAAACTAAATGCATATTACATTTCCAAAAAAATATGTGGTTTATGGAGGAAGTTTCTCCCCGTATTTTAATTTCAGAAATAATATAATAGAATAGTGGAGAAACTCACTCGAGTCCGGCAATTGCGAAGTTTGAAGCGGCGGCGGAGGGAAGCGTTTCGTAAAGACGGAAGCGAAGAGCTTCTGAGCACTGGAACTAATAAGCCTCCGTGCTGGATCCACCAATTTCGGTAACCAGCCACTTCTATCGCTGGTACCGCTGGGGTTCCTTATTGAGGTCGGCGGTCTGTCGTATGGTGTAGTCTTTGCTACCCTCCGTAACGGTCATTTTCTAAATTTTCCTCCGGCTCCTAATCTATCTTCATCGGGGTTACTCTCCTCACGTGTCGTCGCCATCAGAGAAACAGAATGGGGGAAATGAATGTTAGGATTAGGGTTAGGGTTAGAGATTTTGAGGGAAATTTCTTAAGGGAAATAAAAAGTTGCTTAATTAGGGTTTTTATACAATATTGTATTTTTATACATAGAGTGAGAAAAATGAAATTAAAAAGAAAATTGGTGCTAAAAAAGGATACAACTTACGTATTTTTGGTATCTTTGTAAGATAAAAGTGTTAATATCTCACAGTCACATGTCGATGATCTTATTGAATGTAACAAGCGAGAGTGGCAGAAACGGTTTTTTTTGTATTATCAAAAAAAAAGTGCTATATTTTTTGTTTCTGTTTCTATCACTATCGAAGAACCTTCTTCTACTTGAAGACAAGGTTTAGGCAATCTGCACAAGGTTTTTTCTTCTTCATTTTCTTTATAATTTTCATTGTCAAATGATTTGCTTTTGAATTTTGATATTTCCTTTGTCGCCACCTCATTAAGACTTCCTTAGTGTTTCTTTTTTATTGTAAAAGCCGCCTCTTTTCGTTTGCAAATGCCTTTGACTTTGTACATTTCCCTCTTTCAAACAAGTCATTACACCAACAATAATAGACTACAAAGCAGCTCCAGCTTCATGATTCTCACAATACCATTTCCTTGTAAAGATATCCCTTTTCAATGTTTTCTTGTTGAAGTTGCTTCCAAATTATTTGTGCCCACGATTATAAATTGAAGGTTATTTCTTTTCTTTCCCTTTATCTGTACCTGTATTTGTTTCATGTTTTCATATGTATTAATCGTTTTTGTGTTTACTATGTTGAATTGGAATTTGGGTTTTTTTTTATTTATTAAGCTGATTATAATTTGAGAATTTATTGAATTTTATTTGTTTGTTTGACTTTCGGGCTGTTAGAGACATCTTTCATCCATAGATCATAACCTCAAAAGTCATTACTTTATTTTATATCCCTGTGATCTTAGAGAAGTTGAAAGAGGGATCCTGGATTTGTTTTTGGGACGGACTCAAAAACTACAGTTGAGAATTTTTATAGTATTGAACCTGCCTTAAGTTCCTCGTCAAAGAGGAGTAATTTGTCTGCTCATTCCAAATCTTTGGGCGGGAGTTCGATTAGGGAAGTGAGTTTCAGTGATTTGGGACTAAAGCCTGTGAAATATGGATCTCGTAGTGCTGAGTCAGAGATATATAACATGTCGTAAAAAGAGATCAATGATGAAGATTGTAACATCCCAAAATATGGGTTAGTTACTAAATTGTAAAACTTCATAATTTGGTGACTAAAGCAGAATAATTGAATAGTATTGTAATTTGGTATAGGATTAATTTGCAAGGAAGAAAGAATAGAAGGACAAAATGGTCATTTGCAAGGAAAATAATTATTTGGTTATATATATATGGAGGCCATGTGTATGTGAGGAAGCAAATATCCAAGCTTCCAGACAACTCTTCTCCTCCTTTCTTCTTTGTGCATATGAGCCAATGCAAAGGTAAGAATTCTTATTAGTTGTTTATTAGTTGAGATTAAGTTTGGTTTTGCTCCTGAGATGCTAATTAAGCTTAAGGAAAGCTTAATTTGCTTTAAAACAACAAGATAAAGGATGTAGGAAGAATTAAAGATTAAGAGTTATTGAATGAAATTTCAAAATAAAGCTCATAAGAAGAATTGAGAGTTGAATTTGACTTGCCACCAACTTGATTAAGAAATATGAAGTGTTAGAATCAGATTTAGAACATGTGGGAATTTGAGTGAAATTCTTAAATACTATGGGGAGAAATGGATTTTGAAGGTTAAGAGATATTGAATGAGTATTAATTAGTTTAAATAGGTGTATAAGAGTTAAGAATATAAAAAGGGGTGATATATGAAGAGTTGAGAAGATCAGGAAGGGATTTTCGTGCTCAAAATGTCATTTCTGGGTTGTGTGCATCGATGCACATTCAATGTGTATCGATGTACTCTCAAATAAATGAACATCGAATACAATTAGTGCATCGATGCATAAGGAGTGCATCGATGCACCTGTTTAAAATACAAACATCGAATGAGAATTATGCACCGATGCACCTGTCAAGGGATGCATCGATACATGGTGTAGTGCATCGATGCATACCTTCATTAAAAGATAAAAATAGCTTTCTTTTTAGCCTAAGGAGTGATAGTTTAGAATATATCAATTATTATACTGATATGTATCAATGTACTACTATGTAGATTTAGAACGTAATCTCGTTCCGGAACAATCGAATGATTAGAATCGAGTCAAAGCAAGGCTAAGGTGAGTGCATATCCTAGATGAAATGGAATTGAGATAAGACTTGCGATAAGTCTATCTCTTATCATTGAATTTATGATTCCATATTCATATACATGCATATATATATATATATTAATGTTATAGTGATTCCATCTATTCTTCATTCTTGATTAATATGAAATTATATGAATGAATGTTATTATCAGAGAATTCTTCCAGGTATTTGAAATAATGGAAATGATCAGATGAAGTGACTTATGTCGTTATACGGACAATAATGAAATAGATGAAATGATAAATGTATTTATAATTAAGCCCATGTTATTTAATATGAGAGCTGTAGGTATAATTGGCATGCCAAGAGTCGAGGGAATATCAGTGGTCCTTCGGGACATAGTGGTTCTTCATAGCAATCAGTGGTCCTTCGGGACATAGTAGTCATTCGGGACAAATATTCAGTGCCCCTTGAGGGAATTATAGGAGCTGTCGTGACAGCATAGTGCACAACCTCTATGTACTCGCATACCTTTGTTCTCAATAATGAACATGAGCAATCCAAAGATAAATTAAAGTGAAATTAGCATGAGAATGTATGTGTTATGTGTACATGATATCATTATATATATTGTAGTGAAATAGAGGCATGCAAATAAAGTTGTCATGATCATATGGAAAGAATACATGTTCATGAACGCATTGTTATATTTACATGTTTATTTATTACCTCACTAAGTCTATAACTTAGCGTGTAAGTGATTTACACGTAGGTACCAAGAATCGGGAAGAACAGGAATAGGAGTAGCAAGAACACCAACACTGCTAAAAGATCAGATCAAGAGTAACTGATAAAGTATGTATTTTGTCGTATATATTGTCGGCATGTAAGAAAAGTGTCAGTTATGAATGCTCTGATCAATTTTTGGTTGTTTTGGTCATTTCATGTAAATCAACCGCTTTTATGTTAATGAAAGTTTTAAATTTTCCTTGAATTTGGTCAAGAGTCAAAGTTTGAAAAGTCAATGTGACATCTCAGACTCGTATTCGGGTCGGATACAAGTTGGGGATGTTAGATTTAAT